GAAGAAGAAAAAAAAAAAAAGAATTGATAAGACTGGATGATCGATTGGATGTGGAACATGAGGAAGAACAAGAATGGTTCCTGGAGTACTGAAACGCTGACATTTACTGAGGTGGGGAAAGATGAGGAGCAGGTTTTGGGGGATGGTTAAGAATTACATCTTGGCCTGGCGCGGGTGGCTCACGCCTGTAATCCTAGCTCTCTGGGAGGCTGAGGTGGGCGGATTGCTCCAGGTCAGGAGTTCAAAACCAGCGTGAGCAAGAGCAAGACTTGCCCATCTCTACTATAAATAGAAAGAAATAAATTGGCCAACTAATATATATAGAAAAAATTAGCTGGACATGGTGGCGCATGCCTGTAGTCGCAGCTACTCAGGAGGCTGAGGCAGCAGGATGGCTTGAGCCCAGGAGTTTGAGGTTGCTGTCAGCTAGGCTGACGCCATGGCATTTACTCTAGCCTGGGCAACAAAGTGAGACTCTGTCTCAAAAACAAACAAACAAACAAAAAAAGAATTACATCTTGGGCCTATAAAGTTTGAAAATGCTTATGAGACGTGTAAGTGGTGGTATCAATCACGTGATTACACTTATGGTCTTTTGAGTACTTTCTTGCATGTTTTATCAACTTCGTGCATGCATTGGAGATGAGAGTATCACCTTCTTTTCATACATGGGGAAGCTGAGGCCAAAGAAAAGTGAAAGGGACTTGCTCAGTCACACAGCTAGTTGATGGCTTTCTGACTCCATGTGCATTATATTATACAGTGACTCCATTACTTGTTTCTATAGGGTGGGGGACACAAACTGATATGTGGTACTTCTCTCCCCCAGGAAATGAATTCTAATGATGAAATCTCATTAGGTTCCATTTTTTAATTTTTGGCATATGTTCTCATCATATAAGCACACTCTTGCTATGTCTCATTCACTGTGCTTAGTAGCTGAGTCTTTCATAGTCATAAACACTGCTTAGCGTTACTGACTAGAAATCTGTGTCCCAAGTGTAACCCTACTTCATTCTCCTTACCCCAGTTCCTACTTTATGTAAGGTTGCCTTGCTCTACCTGTCCTCATTTTTATGTTTGTATTTATAGCATTGCTTCAGGTTCATGCTTGAAGGCTTTAGAAGCTTTCTAGACCAGCTCACAGGCTTTTTCCTGTGGGATTCATGCTGATGTAAGCATGTCTCAGGATTGTCGTTTGTCAGCTGTTGAATTCTTGAAACTTCTTTCTTAGAACATTGTAGACCCAGACAGTTTAACTGTAGCCCCTCAAAATTCTGCCTAGTTACTGCAAATTCCCCATCTCTGCATTTAGAATTGTAAATCAGTGCATTAGAGCTAAACTGGGATAGATATCTAGCAGAAGACCTTAGGGAGGAATGGAGCAGGGAGAGATGCTAGTCTCTTCATCAAGGAGGCAGCTTTTAAAATGGGCCTCTGGACCATTCAGTGTTGAGGAACATCCTGTGATATAAAGATGATGTTACTATATGGTGAGAACAAAATATATAACCTCTCTAGACACAGATTCTTTGAAAAATGAAGGCATTTTTCTTGATCTCAGTACTTTTCCCCAGCTCTAACACTAAATATTGGGATATAAGTGACATTCCCAGCTAATGGGTGGGGCTAGAGGGGAGAGTGTTCAGAGAGCAATGTGGGTCACCCTATAGCTCTTCTGTTCCTAGGACTTTCCAGGAAAGGGAGTAGGACATAGCTCTCACAAAAGAGCCTAGTGAGTGAAGAGAATGGAGTTGCAGTATCAGAGTGGTGAAGGATCTTTTCTTGAAGTGGTTTATTTCCAAAATTTGGGTTGTCTCTCTTCATGCCCAATCTTCTTATGCACCATCTGTAAGTATTTGCTTTTATTTCTACTGCTCCATGCTGTAGATCTCTACTGTAAGTGCTATACTTAAAAATTAAGCCACCCTTACAGATTACTTATTAAAGATACTTTTAAAGTGGAGAAATGCAGTTCAAAGAAATGGAACAAACATCTTGTTCTGAAAATTGATATATTGATAAGGACAAATCTATGTACTTACTATTCCTACTGATAACACATAACTGACTTTGAACACAAGGAAATAATCAGGTGAATCCAAACCAGGGGCCAGTCTATATAAAACAAATGGTCTGTGCCATTTAAAAGCATGCCATAGAACAAAAAAGGCAAAGAACTATTAGATAAAAGACACATTCTGTGTGTGGTCTTTTTTTTTTTTTGAGACAGAGTCTCGCTTTGTTGCCCAGGCTAGAGTGCCATGGTGTCAGCCTAGCTCACAGCAACCTCAAACTCCTGGGCTCAAGTGATCCTGCTGCCTCAGCCTCCCGAGTAGCTGGGACTACAGGCATATGCCACCACGCCCAGCTAATTTTTTCTATATCTATTAGTTGGCCAATTAATTTCTATTTATAGTAGAGGCAGGGTCTTGGTCTTGCTCTTGCTCAGGCTAGTTTCAAACTCCTGACCTCGAGCAATCCGCCCACCTTGGCCTCCCAGAGTGCTAGGATTACAGGCGTGAGCCACTGCACCAGGCCTGTGTGTGGTATTTGATTTGATCCTACGTGAAAAATTAAAAAGGTCTTGGATATTGAGGTAATTGGGGAAATTTTAATATGGACTATTACAGTATTCTATCAATGTCAAATTTCCTGACTTTGATTCTAATATTTGTGAGAATGTTCTATTATAAGATACATGCTGAAATATTTAGGGTGAAATGTCATGGCGTTCAGAAAGTATAAAACAGCACTGCAAACGTGCAGCCATGGCAAAATGCTACTTGGTGAATCTGTATGAAAGGTATGTACATGTATATGCTCATTGTATTACAGCTTTTCTAAAAGTAGGTTTGAAAATTCCAAAATTTTGAGACTGTCTCAAGAAATGACAGGAACTTTGAGAGGGCAGCTATTTTATACCTTATGAAGTAAGTGAGGGGTGATCCAAGTGGAAATCTTAGTGTGGTTACTATTCCAAGGGCAAAGGCACAGATAAAACTGGGAGAAAGGTGGTAGGAAGAGATAGAGAGGGTCCAGATCACAGGAGGCTGTAGGCCTTTGGGGAGAGCTTTGAGCAGAGGAGTGACAATCTGTTTTGAGAAAAGGCCAAGGTAGTAAAGGTCTAAGTAGGAAGACAAACTAAAACTAGAAATAACCCAAGTTGTAGGAGGAGAGATGGTGATTGTGGATGTTACTTTTGAAAGTTGTTAAGATTTGTTGACTCCAGGATTTTTTTAGTTTGAGCAACTATAGAAACATTTATTTTGAAACTGGAAAGACCACTTAAGAAGAGGTTGTTGCAAGAGGAAAATCAAAAGATCCTTTTGGGATCTCATCAAGTAGATATAACCAGAAAAAGGAGATTTTACTAAAGAATAAAGCAAAATCATTCCTTTTTGCCTTTTGTGATAGTTCTGTGTTGTCAGTTTGGCTGTAGGATGACAGATAGCTGGCTGGTCAAACATTTCTGGGTGTGTCTCCAGAAGAGATCAGCATTAGCTTGGAGTAAACCATATCCACTCTCCCATGAGTGGGGATCATCCCAATAGTTAAGGGTCTAAATAGATAGAACAAAAATAAACCAGCAGAAGAGGGCTAGATTCTCTGCCTACTTAAGACATCCATCATCTTCTAACCTTGACTAGGATTTACACCTTTAGTGTTCCTGGTGACTGCAATTTTATACCAGCACCTTTCCTGGGGTTCTAGTTTATAGATATACTGTGAGACTTCTCAGCCTCCATAACTGTGAGTCAATTCCTTATAGTAAATCTCATTCTATATATCCTGTTGGCTAATAACACCTTTCAAAGCCAGTTGTACTACCATCAGCTTTATTGGTAGCTAACAAATACTGTGTTCTCTACTATCCATGGGGCAGCTGAGTTGGTTGCCTGTAAAGTACCTAGCAGTGCATCTCCCTTTCTAACAGAACCCTGAGTTTTTGCTCAGGGGAAACTTTGACACCTCTCCCTTTCCCCAAGGATGAATCTTGACTAATAAAAGGCAGTTCTTAATTGAGGTACTTGGGAAATCCTAGAGGGCTTTTTTAGTTATAACACACCACAAAACTTCATGAAGACGAATTACTGCACATCCTACAACATTCCCATCAAGTATCAACATGACTGAAAACCTCAGCCTAGAATTTACTTTTCACATGAATCCCAAGAATCTTTTAACTGTGAATTTTCCAGGAATGTTATTATTTAAATCACTTCCTTCATACTAGAACATTAAATTGAATTCTTATATTGATTTTTGAAGATACAAGAATTTTCTTTCTTTTTTTTAAAAGGTAGGGCCTCATGCTTTATTGTCCAGGCTGGTCTTGAACTCAGCTCTAAGTTCAAGGGATTCTCCTACCTCTGCCTCCTGGAAAACTGAAACTACATCTGTTCCACACCACCATACCTGACTCTGAAAAGTAATTCTAACACTTAATGGGATACAAGAATGATATAGTCACCTTTCTGAATTTGTCAGCATGTAATGATTAGAACTACATCAAAGAATTTGGGACAGGCAAATATACTCAAGATGGAAGAGCAGAATAGGGAAATAAGCTGGGTTCCTATTATTTTTGAGCCTTTGAAATCAATAGACTTAGGACTTCCTACTACATATGAGGTTTTTTAAAATTTGAGCCAGAATTCTGGCTTGGTTTTTGCTACTCAGAACTGAAAGCTACTGGAAAACAGCAGCTAGATTTTTTTTTATGCTAGGTAGAGATCTAGAGATTATTTTAAGATTCTAAATCTAAGGTCTATAAAAGGGAGAGAAAAAACCCACCCTCATAACCAGATTTGCCTATGCTGATTAGGGCTTATTTCATTGTACACTAACTAGCCCTTCCAAATCTTGAATTTGTTTGCATTTTTAGCCAGTGCCAGAAAATCTTATATTCACTCTCTTGGGAAATATAGGAAGTACGAGTCATGTCATATTCTTAAAGCTAACTCTCAGGTCCTTACCCCTCACAAATGAGATCAAACTGCTTTTCATATTTATTTTTTTTAAAAAAAAAATCCAGACTGGATCAAAAGAACAATCATCAATGATATAGATGCCAGACAAGCCAAAAGGTAGCTAGAATAGTATGCCTCAGGCAAGTTAGGGAGCCTCATTACTACCTTTAACAACTGTACCTAACATAAATAAGCTTAGGTTTCCATTCTTGCTGCTTCTGCCCGATCTACAAACATGGCACAGCCAGCTTGCCTTGCAAGGCCTCAGACGATATGATGGACCCCACCTACACACATGCCAGTACAGCAGTACTTTGTCTAACTAGAAAAAGATCTCATCCCCAGTCTATGGCTATCTTCACTGTTATGTGTGAGATGGTTTGATTCCTTAAAAATATGGCCACTTCAGCACAAAACAACGTTAAGTCTTTATACCCTTCTACATGCAGCTGAAAAATGACAGGCTAGGGACAGAACATTGTGAACTTTGTACTGTTGGAATTATTGCCCATTAAATGATCATTAGCTAACAGTCACTAAATTTACAAATTAAGGAAATTATATATAGAATACTGCAAAAACACAGTAAGAAGACTGAAGTTTGCTTATTTCTGCTCAGGAAGTCCCTTCACTCCCAAGCTTCATGTTGTCCTTTTGGCTCCGAAATTTACTACTGTTTCTCCTCCTTTTGATCTTCCTTTTGTTCCCCAGTGCCAGAACTTCCAGAGCCTTCTCGCTCAGATGCCATCTGTTAAGAAAATATGAGAATATTTAATGTTTCCTCTGTGGAACTATAAAATGAAGGAACCACATAGTCCTCATCTTGCACCTCTATTCCACTCTCCCACCCCTGTACCCTATGGGTAGTTTTTGTGATTCTTTCTCTTTGACACTCCCACTCCCAAGGTAAATCAAGAAGGCAGGAGGATTTTTCCAACTCCAATACTCTCAATTCCATAAATGGCTATGGAGGGAGCCACCAGTGACAGTAATCAAGAGCAGTGACATCAAGAACAAGTTAGAACCAAAAAACACCCTTCAGGCCTTGTACCTTTTTGTATGCCATTTCGAAGAGCTTCAGTGATGCCTGTTGAAGGGAGGATGCTGCCTGCCTAATGTTTTCTCCTGTTTCACTGTCTTTTCTGGCCAGGATCTCCCTCATTTTGGAAATCTCTTCTTTTAGCTTGTTGCACTTAAAAAAAAAAAAAAAAAAAACCACAAACACAAAAATCCTCAGTTTTCCAAGTCTCCTGTGCCATTACATGTAGAAGTACTATTCAGAAACTTTTAAAGATCTAAACCTCTATTATTAAGCCGATTTTGGTGGCCTTTCCCAACGTTCTTGTATACAAGGTAAACAATTCTATTAACCAGGGGTTCGGAGACACCTAAGTTTTGTTCGCGGCTTGTGTTGTCCGCGAACCGCCTCCGGCGCTTACTTGTCCTGTTGGACCCTTTCTGAGTCCGCACCGCAGCGCCCCCCGGCGGGCACCAGTGACTCTGTTTTAATCCGACGCTCCAATAAGTTATTAACAATGAAAACACAGACAAGCAGGGGAAAATGCAACTAAGAACTAATTCTGTCACTAAAACATTCATTAAGAATCACAGAGGGGAGGGTGGGACGGGGGGGGCGGGGGTGAAGGCGGAGAAAAACTACTAAATCAGGGTGCAATTAC